TTTTTTTTTTTTCTTTTTTCTTTCTTAATCCCTTGGCTGTCCTCCTTTGCATTGGCTGTGTGTAAGTGCTGCTTGCCAGGACAGCTAGGAGGTATGATACAAAGAAAGGCTGAGTTAATATAGCCTTTTGTGCAAAGTTGGAATTGATTCAGCCCCATATGTGTCTAGTTTCTTCCAAGCTGTAGTTTTGCCCTTAACTATCCTCGACTTCTTAAAAATGGTCCCAAGAATTGAACCCACTCAGTGCTGAATTAAATCCTCAAGCCCCTCTCCCTTTTAAGGCAGTCTCCCTAAACTTCCCAGGCTTGCCTGCCTCAAATTTAACATAGTCCTGCCTCATCCTCCCTAGGAACTGGGAGTATAAGCATGTTTCTGGACATGCAAATAAACAACTCTTAAGGTTTTTTAAAAAGATGGACAACTCTAAAAGAAAAAAAGCATCTTTTTGTTCCTCAACATATCCACCTATGCGATGAGAGGCACTATTTAACAAATAGGCATGTGCAAGTATCATATATGTGCAAGTGTCATATATACCTCATAAATTGAGGTAATGCATGATCAGTAGCTTTTTGAATTGAGTTTTTAATTGAAATTTAATTGTGATGGAGATGTGGAGTTGAGTAGATCTTTACCATCTTTTTCTTTTTTTTTTTTTTAGTACAGGCTCTACAGGGAGTACAGGCTCTCAGTACACAGATCAGACTCATAGTGATCCTCCTGTTTTCAGCATCCCAAGTGCTGGGATTACAGGCGCACGTTACCACACTGTCTCAGTCGCAGTCTCAGTGCACCCCAGGGGCGGGGCGGGGCGGGCACAACCTGTCGTGCTAACCCATGTCCCTGCGTCTGCCTAAGCAGGTGCTTTAGTCCACTGAGCTATCTGGTTGGCCCTTGCCATCTTTTTCACATACATGTAATCCCAGCACTTGGGACTGTGAGGTAGGGGGATCACTGTGACTTACAGGTCAGCCTGGGTTACGCAAACAAGTTCAAGGCCAGCCTATGCTACATGGTGAAACCTTGTCTCAAAAAAATGAAATGTCTGGTCAAGTTTTTCCTACATTTGGCTGGAAAATGTGATCGAAAATATTTCAGTACATTTGTTTTCTCTCCCTATCTCTTTTTTTTTTTGGTGTTTTTGAGACAGGGTCTCACTATGTAGTTCAGGCTGGCCTTGAACTCACAGCAGTCATCCTGCTGCAGCCTCCCAAGTTCAGGAATTGCAAGATTGTGCGCTGTCATGCCTGGCAACTTAAGACATTTGAAATAAAAACAATTTCTTAAAATTCTTTTTTTGGTACCAGGAGTCGAACTCAACACTTTGCACTTGCCAGGCAGGCAATGTGCTGCTGAGTGATATCCACGGCCTGATTTCTTAAAATTCTTGCAAACCCATTATCCTTAATTAATCAAGTGCTTGATCATTTGCAGTTGTAAGTTCTTATGTATATATGTATATATACTTATTATTGAGATTAAGTGATCAAGTAAAACAGTAGGGGCCAGTTTTCTTTGAGAATCAAGGAAACAACTACTTTTTTTTTTTTTTTTTTTTGAAACAACTACTTTTTTAGAATGAAAATGCCCTTATGAAGCATCAACTTAAAATTACCTTTTTGTATTTTGTTTTATTAGGCGTTAATGGATTTTTAAAAGGTTTTTGTTTTGTTTCTTGTAATTCAGATTTAGTAAATGCTTTGTCTGTAAACTTCTGTTTCTGTAAGATTTTTTAAAGCTCAAAGTGTTTTTTGTATGTCATGTTAAATGACATATACATATACAATTTGATGTATATAGTATGCAAATCCACTTAGAAATTTACTATTTATGAGTAACTGAAATCATCTGTGTTTGGTATCTAGTCTCACGGTTATGTTATGGTAGGTCAAGATGAGATGTTGACAGTTCTTTAAGATCATGTGCAGTAGTGGCATAGGTGACGCTATGACAGAGGCACAGGAAAATTGGCATTTCAAAGCCCTGGGACCATTTCAGTGTGTGTGTGGCCTTTTATCTTAAATGTGTTCCCCATGGCAGCATGGAGGAGGTAAGACCTGTGGGTCAATTTGAAATGGCCTTACTTACCATTTGATTTTTTAAAAACAAGAGACTCAGGGAAAGTACTTAACCAAAATATCTGATTTGAATTTTATGTTTTTAAGTTTTTATTTTGTTTTGTCAAGATTCTTTTGTAAAAGAAAATGCTCTTATGGTTTGATAATTCTACACATGTAATATTCTCTGTCATGATCCTTTACTTCACAAGGTTCTGAGGTCTGTATTATTAAGTTACTTTTTTTTTTGCCAATTTAGTTTAAAGTATTGTTTAACTGCTTTAAATTTATGAATATTGTAAACTACAGAGAAAAGGAAATGTGTTTTCGCAGGACCTGTGTTGTGAACTAAATTAAGCCTACATTTTTGTGACCTCTTTGTGACCCATTGATGATGAATATATGTAACAAGTATGTTTATATGTGTGTGTGTGTGGTTTTTTAAAAGTCACATTTAGTGCATTTGTGGTGAAGAAAATGAAGACAACATCAAGGCCCCGCTTTTGGTACCACCTAATGAGATCTTGTTTCTCTGATCCAGTCATTTCAATAATTAGACTATCACTTAGGAACCTGCCCAAGTTTCTAGATGAGTAGAAGGAACAAATAAAGTGAACAGAAAATGAAATGCTTTAAGCACTATTGTAGGGATATTCTTTGAAAACACTTGGAGAAATGAGGTTTACATTCTCTAGGCATTTATGTATTAAGAAAGTGCTTTGAGCCCTTTGCCTCCAGACTTCATTGGGGCCAGCAGCCACCCGACCAAGGGCCCGACTATCCTGGGCTCTGTGTCCAACCAGCAGTTTGCAGGTGGCTGCACCAAGGCAGCGGAGAAGGCGCCCGAGGCGGCGCCAGCAGATGCAGCCTGGGTGGCGGACGAGCCGCAGCTGCTGCACGGTGCTGGCATCTGTAAGTGGTTCAACATGCGCATAGGGTTCGGCTTCCTGTCCATGACCGCCCACGCTGGGGTCTCGCTCGACCCCCTCTTGGAAGTCTTTGTGCACCAAAGTAAGCTGCACATGGTGGGATCCGGAGCTTGAACGAGGGTGAGGCTGTGGAGTTCACCTTTAAAAAGTCTGCCAAGGGCTTAGAATCCATCCGAGTCACCGGTCCTGGTGGGGTGTTCTGTACTGGGAGTGAGAGGCGGCCCAAGGGGAAGAACATGCAGAAGCGCAGATCCAAAGGAAAAGGAGACAGGTGCTATAACTGTGGTGGTCTAGACCATCATGCCAAGGAATGCAAGCTGCCACCCCAGCCTAAGAAGTGCCACTTCTGCCAAAGCATTAACCACACGGTGGCCTCGTGTCCACTGAAGGGCCAGCAGGCTCCCAGGGAAAGCCAGCTTACTTCAGAAGGAGGAAGAGATCAACAGCCCTGCCCTGGAACCAGAGGCCCAAAAGTGAGCACAGTGGGTGGGGGAATATTCTTTGCTATCAGGAAGTCTCAAGGAGCAGGCATCAGTCGGCAGAGTGGAGAAAGTGGGGATAGGGTGGGTGGGGTAGCTGGCACTGCCATGTATCTCAGGCTGGGGTTGTCAGCCATCACCCTGCCTTCCCTCAGTGGGGGGGGAAGGGATGAGACAGCTCCAACCATGTTCTAGCCAAGTAAAAGTGAAGGCTCTGGGGGAACCACCCTAGAGCCTGTGTGCTTTATCTGAGGCTTTACCCCCAAAAGAATAGGGAAGTTGTTTTCCTCTTAAAGAAGGATATGTACTATTTCCCTTGCCAGAGTGAAATAATTACTCATGAGACCAGACTGATGAGACCAATCCACAAGCGACTACATTTAATGGGAAGGAATCTCAGGAGCAATGCGGGGGGGGGGGTTAGTATCCTTTTCCCTCATAACCCAATCTTGGGATGTGGTGCTGGGAACGATTCCAAGCAGTGTGTTGTGGTAACAGAGAAAAAGGGTGGTTGGGAGAACAGCTGCAGACCTGCTGCTCCTAACTTACTCCTACCCCTTTTGGGGCCAATGTGATTTTATTTTTTTGCTCCTTTGGATAACTGCACCTTGGGTCCCACATCCACTCCAGGATGCCAACTACACTGTGTGCGAATGACGTATCTTGTGCATTTAACTTTTTTTTTTTTTTGTAATATAAATATTCTGGCTTTGTATTTTTTTATATTTTAATCTAAGGCCCTCATTCCTGCACTGTGTTCTCAGGTACATGAGTAATCTCAGGGATAAGTCAGCAGCAGCTACAGGTCTGCGCAGCAGGAATACTTTTTGTTTTTATCACTATGGAGAGCGAAAGTGCATAGCCTATCAAGTGAACTACGTCATTTCTGCCAATTAGAGTTCTAGAATCTTCTGCCATAGTACCCTTTGAAACCTCCTCCACCTTAAAAATGTTTGATAGGAGAGTAGGTTTTAAAGGGGTTGCCCCACAACTTGAACTTCAATGGAAGATTGGAAATTAGTCTAAATAGAAAAAGTGGTGCATTAAAACAAACATTTGACCTGGCAGATGCGCAAACAGTATTGGCTCTATCTGAGTGTGCTGTGACACTGAAAACAATTCATCTCAAACGGGGGCCAGAATGTGTTCAATATCTGCAACAGGAATACCTGCCCTCCTTACAAGTAGCTCCCGAAATAATTCAGGAGTTTTGTCAAGCACTTCAGCAACCTGATGCTAAAGTTTTTAAAAACTATTTAAAGGTGTTTTTCCAGAGAGCAAAACCCTAAGGACTGGATTTCCTTGTACCCACATCATGATCAGGAATTCCAATTAATAATTTATAAAGGAGTGATTTTTTTGTGTGTGCCATTCACACTCTTTCAACATTGCTTTGAGCTTATAGCAATGTATGTATTGGGATTTTTCT